GGCATGGGGTATATGGCCTGTGTGCGTTGACGTTGTTGTCCTCGTCAGCATTGCGATATGAAAGGGGGAGCGCAATGAATATTGGACCATTGAAAACCAAGTTTTCGTAATCTGTAAGTGGCACATATCCACAGTTCTTGATGAAATGTTCTACTTTTTCCACACTTCAGCACACTTTTATTGACGCTAATATACAAAATGACTGAAAAAAAAAACAAATGAACATTTTACATTTTAATCAATGTAAAAATTTGCTTATAAAATTGATGGGACAAAGACCACACTCAATTTGAACATCATTTCCTGGAAAAATGAAGTAATCGATTGTGATAATTTTCAATATCAAATCGACGCGTATCAAAAAATCAATAAATTTCCATTGGATTCGTTAAAGAAGAAGATAAATTCTATGCGTGCCATCTTCAAAAAATGGAGATCGTCAATCTGAATTAAATAATTATGTTAATAATATTCATGTGGTATAAACTTTATGATGGACGAGTAAATGTTTTTCAAAACATGCATTTTAATTTAAAATCGATATCATCCCATCTCAAGTTTAGACATTGTACTACAGATGGAACCGTTGTCGCATTTTCTCATAACAATATAAGATTAAAAATATTTAATTTCAATGTCATAAAGTTAGAAAAAAACGAACTGATTGTTATGCCTGGATTAATCTCTCTAACACCATAACTCTCTAATAAAAAGAAAATTTGTTTTTCTTTTTCGAAAAAACTGTATAGTTAAGAAAAAAAAGGTAAACTTTTAATTTACAAAAAACTTGTCGACTACATTTATAGTAAATAACTTAATATCACAAATAAATCATTCAAACTTCAACTTACACCATTGACCGTTAGATGGAAGAAGCTTCTAAGACAACGAGCTTTTCAAATGAAATATAACAAGAAGTGCTTTTGAATCTTTCAAGTTCATCAGGATATTTTTAAGTACAAAAAAGGATCCCTTCATTGAAAGTTCACTCTTTTCGAATATTATAAGAAAAAAACTCGACAGATGGAGTGAGTGTGACACAAAGTCGTTTTTAAATTTGAACTTGGTAAATAAAAGGTGCTTTCATTTGTCAGGTCATCTATATGTTCAAAATGGATTTCAAACAAAAACTTATTTCAGACTTAAAATCCACTTGTTTTGTAAGACTTTTTTCTGCCGCTATAATCATTCGTTGAGCTGTAAGATAGAGTTAGCTATGCCGAATCCGACTTCTATCCCTGCAACCATTCGAATTTTTCCCTTCCAACAATGAAGTCGATGAAAGCAAGTCGCTTAATAAAATATTTAGTGGTATTCATTTGTGAAAAATGAGAGTAACTTCGAATAATCTCCATGTATGTCAAATATGTAAACAGGTCAACTTTAATAGGTATTTATGTTTAACTGACGACTTAAATTCAATGTCTAAAGTCCGTCTAAAAAATTAATAATTATTATGTTGAAAGTTGTAGAAGGTTTGATGGGATATTTAATTACTATTACCATCAAATCATTTGAATTGATTTCTTTCATTAGAAATTTGTGTGTTTTAAATTGTTTAGTTTCTCAGTACGAATGTCTGTTTCTTTTTCCCTTTGGAATGAGAGAAATCCTTTGCATGTGCTATGAATCAAAGCGTAAATCTAGTGTAAATTGCGAATCGAATACATAATGCGCGATTTTATTCCATTTTCCTTAAAGCATTCCGAATCTATGTCACGTATGGCAAGTATGTTTGCTATTTCCAGTTATTTATGCGTAAAACAAGCAAAACAAAAAGAGAAAAAAAAAAACAAACAGAATATTAGTGTGACAAATATTTTTATACCAAATCCAAAAAAAGGGAAGTTTTTTTTATCACAGCCATCGAATTGTGCACGATAAGTGGGTGTTTTATAATATATGCGACTAGAATTTCGGCCATTGAAAGTATATTGCATAATTAATATTTAATCATAATATAAAATTCATGAGGTTCAATGTCTAAATTTGGAGCCGTTTTTGGTATGACGAATGAATGAGCGATGAATGTTTTGTGAACTCGATGGCAGTTAACAACGCACAATTATATTCGCAACTGTTTTATGTATCATGTGTTTGAAACGCAGAATTGTCAGCGCATAATCACAGCAATGGTTTTTCAATAAACACGCATCAGAATTCGTCAAGCCTCTTCAAACATATGACATAACCAATAGTCGGTTCTATGCAATAAACCCCACAAAATAATACGTTTCTCTCTCGTTCTCATCTCGTTTGTATCTATATTATAAGTAGATGTTTTCATGAAATGAAGTAGAAGTGATTTTAGCAATACACTGCATAAATGCTCGAAATGATGGATGATTTGAAGATGTAATCAGTCAAAAAAATTTCGACAACAGAAGAGCAACTTTTAATGTTCATAATTGATATGACTGGAAGATTTTTGCATCGATTTTGTGTTGAAAACACCAGTTCCCGGCCATAGTTTCATTCGCATCAACTGTATAGTGTATACATGTATCCAAATACAATTACATTCCGTACAGAAAGATCTATCTCTCCACGTTGTTATCTTCATAGCGGCAGTAGTAATAATTAATAATATTTTTGGGGCCAAAGTCGTCGAACGAATGGCAACGTCGGTTGGTCCATGTAACGATGACAACCTTTGTAATAAATTGAAAAATTGGAAAAGAAGCAAAGATATGTTCATATCAAACCCGACATATTCTGCATACCATTTCTACTAACGCATAATTCAAATTCATAGAATTAATGAAATGAAAGCATGTGCTAAATGTCATATTATCAAGGAAACAAATTATTTTTCGTCATTTTGGGTGCGCATGCATGTCGTATTTGTATATGGTGAGTGGGAAAAGTAACAACAGCCACGGTTCGAATCAATCCACCTGAAATTGATGAAACTTTAGATGAACCCATTTTTTTTATTTGGAGGATTTGGAATTCAATCGTCATGACGACTTACTCCCACATGAAAGCAACAACTTATTGATTTCTCTGTTATATTTTCCTCTCTAAATGGTGGAAAATGTTATTCTTGCATTATTTTTTTTCATCTTGAAATTCAAATTATAAGTTGGCATCTCATGAATCATTCTCTATCTCTGTCCCACTCTCTCTCTCTCTCGCTCTCTCTCTCTTCCGGCAATGAATAAATGCTAAGTAAGAAGTTTTCAATTATGAATTTTAATGACAATTGTTTGTAGTTTCTGTGATTCACTTTCAAATAAATAGAGATTTAAATCAAATTTGCAGCATTTCATTGGAATTTTGTAATTTGAATGATATTAATAAAATGTTACGAAGGCAATTTCGCCGGAAACAACGTTTATATAAAATAATAAAATGTTATTGTTATTGATATTGAAATTGAGTTTGTTGTTGCGTACTAGAAATTTTATTATTATTTTTTTTTTTGTTCATTCGTTCCTCTGCGATATTACAACTTTTCTATTGCTTTGTTTGCAATTGTGCTCGCTTATCTTTTATGGAGAAACGGAGCTTTTATGATTCGAACTCAAACAAAAATTAACGCACCTAAATAAAAAAAAAATCTTTAAATTATATTGACATTTCAATTCAATGAGAGACTCGGTGGTACTTGTGCTGTGCACAACTTGTGCAAACGTTTGGATTTATTAATTTCTCTGTAGTTATCACTCGACTCACGTTCAAATTCAACATGGATATCCGAACACATACAACAAAAAATCAACTCTTGTTGCAAAGTTTGCGAATGTGCGCAATAATAGTTTTGGCAAATCAAAATAGATGTTTACAAACGAATTGCATGATCCACACTCGTAAATATATTCATATCCCGTCTGAAAATATTTGAGTAACGCAACGAAAAAACGGATACCATTTTAGTTCGATTCAAATGGATGTAATTTTATTTGAAAGAGAAGCTGTCAAATGCCAAACAGTAGGTGTCATATTCAAAAGTAGAACTTCATGTTTTGGACCGTCTTAGACGGATACCATTTTCTACATGCGGGATACAAATGGATTCAGTACAGTACAATAAATATGTTAGATTTCGTTTTATTGAAAAACAATGCAATAGGATCTATGGAGCCCATAGCAATGTGACCGGCTATGTCGTCCATACCATTCTTTCATATTTTTTTTTATTAGAGGAAAATATAAGTTAGGTTTGAATGTCATTCGAAGTAGTTTTGATGCGAATATTTTCATCAAAGTAAAATAATTCGTTTGAGAATTGAGCTGGAATTTGTCGATTTCAGCGATTAAAAATGCATTTTCAAATGGTAAAAAGCGACGAAAAAAGAGAATTCGACCGTCGAAAAAGCAGAATCGGAATGTATAACTGTGAATACCATTGTATTCGATTGCTTCATACGGTTTCGTTGCCAATAAAAGCAACATTATCGTAACACATCTCACATCCACAAAAGCGCTATTGTCTACGCTTACCCAAACGAAGCCCAGCCCATTCGGTATTATCAAAACGGCCATAACACAGCATAAACATTTATCCAATCAACAACTTAAAAATCGAATACAAAGCGCACAAACGGAACGATATTTCGATACGCATACACATACGAAATGTGAGAATTGAATGTATTGCATGGGCCATAGTGAGTATGGATGGCATAGCGTAGACAATACACATGCATTTAAAGAGACGAATCTCTTTCTCTCGCTCTGCATGGAAAAGCGATATATGAACATAAAAACGGTTGATTGTTCGGTATCAGGCTATCAACGATGTGCTTTGTGCTTGAATTGAACGGTGGCCAACAAACGAATACATTTAGCTACAACGACTCTGACTATATCGCGTATGCATCATATCATTTGAGTGTGCGTGCTGTATGTATGTGTGTGTGTGTGCGCGTATTGTGTTTGCATGTGAGTGGGTTGCTATTGTGTGTATTATATTCTCATGCAGCAGGTTGATCTCATGGTGAATGGTTTTTCGAATCGAAGCGTTATTCTGGCGCGCGTTACGGAAACAATAAACACACCGAAACGAACCCGGGCTAAAAAGGAAGAGACGGCCACAACAGCAATGACACAACCAAACAATAACGCCAACGATCAACATATACACGATAAAGTGTAGAGAGAGAGCAGTCGTTTGACTCTCGCAATTTTCATCGCGGGTTATTATCGAGCCGTCCTTCCATTTGTTCGGATTTGTTTGTGATTTTCATAATGTTTGTGGTGGCACGCACACAGTGTAACGATAACAATAATAAACAATATCGAGGGAAATACAGAATTGTGTGTACGTGTTGTTGTGTATTTTGTCATTGTGCTTTACTTTAATTTAATTTTGGATATATGCAATACACTAATAATCAATTCAGCAGATGAATCAGTGCGCGTACGGAAGCTCATGAGCACGGTATACACGCTTCGATTATTATCTTTTTTTTTTTGCTCATCTCAAATTTTCATTGCAAAACATCATCACACACAGTACTTTGAGCTGCCGAGCTGTGTTTGTTTTTATTTTTTTTTTTCACTTTGATTGTTGTTGCTTCTGCTGCTTGATGCCGCCAATGATGTTTGAGATCCGTTCGTTAGGCAACGTATCCACCAGAAGCATCTAACATTCACTGCTACTGTTATTACCACTGTTTCTGCTCAACTCAATTTCGAACGAGACAAACAAAAGACGAACGAGAGCAACAACAACAACATCAAAAAAAATTAATTGCGCTGATTAAATTTTCGGGATTAAATTAAAAGACGTGAAATTTGGCATCAGAACAGCACTTCCGAGATAATGAGTGAATAATTCGTTTTATTATTAATTGAGAACATTAGTCCCATTATTCTTATCTGCCAACCGAATAAATAGACCAACAAGTCTGTCAATAAGTAATGTGTATAGGAGAAAAGTTTATGCATTTAAAAGAAAGAGAAAAAAAAAAATAAACCAAAACAAAAGGATTCATATTCATATTCGGTTCAGTGATTTGTTTTAATTGAGCGGTGAAATGCTGGAATCAGCGACATTTGTTTTTCTTTTATCTAAACACACAAACATTTTGTGAATGACATTAAGTGTTGGGAAGAAAAGATTTTCACTACGGTGATACGCGATGATATCATTTTTAAACGCTAACGGATATCCATATTTATAGAGAATAATGTGAATGTTCCCAATCGAATTTATTGAGATAAACGTAGACTGGCTATAAAACCAATATTATAAACGCCGACTTAAGGCCCGGCTCAGAAATTTCAAGGCATCACATGAAAAGAGATTTATTTTTTATGGTTCGATAAAAGAGAAAAAAAACGAACAAAATCAACAACAACATCCAAAATTGTCGTTCACTTCATTCGGAAAAGTCATAAAATACCTTTTCAAACTGTCTGCATTGTCGATTCGCAATTTCTCAGCGAATATGCTGAACAATTTGGGAACAGGGACGCTTGGCGGTAAGTTGTTTTTTTCATATATATTTTTGTTTTACCTTCTTTTGTTCAAATCGATTAAAAATTATTGATGAATTGTAAGGCACGAAAGAATGAAAAAGAAAATGTCGAATTTCAAAAGAAAAAAAAAACAATATTAGAATATGTATATACTGCCTGGTTATTGCCGTCGGATAATATTGTACGCTCGCTGCAATAGTTTGCAAAACACAATGAGCTGAGCGAAAGCCATCATATCCAGCGAAAGACTAGTGCAAAATAAATAAAATTGACCAATAAAAATGTAGAGCATTTAAATAAATTGATATACATGAAAGAAGATCAGTTTTTTTTACAAAACTCAAAATTGTAAAATATGAACATTCGCATATAAGATTCCATTCGAATTGAATACTATTGATGCTGTTACATTTTTAAATGTGTCTCTTTATTTATTTTCATTGCGATTTCCGGAAAACTCTCAAAGAACTAAAAGTATGATCATGTTTCGATTCAAACTGTTTCAATTGAATTACCGTCGCTTAACACGTACAGAGTTCTATGGTTTTAGCACATTTCAAGTTACATATGTTCATAAAAAGTTGATTCCAAATTTTTTTTCAACCGGCGAAAAAAAAAGTGAAATATATCATACAATGCGCATCATAAATTCCATCTAAAAAATGTAATTATAAAATAATTCCCACTTTAAACAAATGCGTAAAGTATAAAGTTTCCAAATCCATGGATATTCGTTTCAATTTGCCGTTTGTTACTTCCATATTTATGGTTAAATTTGTTTTACTCATTGATTTTGTTACAGCCACATTTGCCAAAATATTCATTTTTCAGTTTTATTTTATTCATTAAATAATTAATTTCACTCGAATACATTCTCTCTCTCTCTCTCTCTCTCTCTCTCTCTCTCTCTCTCTTTCTTTGTTTATCTCTCAACGGCGAAAGAGTGCTATAACGCACATTTAAATTAGTTTTGAAAGTGGAAAAAGGCCGTCAAATGCCTACCAGGAGAGAGCGTAGCGCATAGAACGTATAAATATTTATTTTGTTGTACGGCACCACATTTTAATGTATTTATAATCTGGCAATTATGTGTCGCATTTGAGAATGAAACGAAAGACTTTAAGCGAAATTGCTGGAATTTATTTTTCATATAGCGAAAATTCGATTCAAACGCAGAATTAAATAAATGTATTTGAATTAATGTTCGTGCTAAATGTGACTGTATAATTGTATTGTGGTTAGCACTGAAATCGAAATAATCATCTTCTATTGGCGATAGAGAAAGGCGATTGAGACAAATAAATGAGTTTTTCTTGTCCAGATTTTCATTTGTCGGCCATATATCAAACCACAAAAGATATCTCACTTCTAAAAGCATCTGAGAAATAATTTATTGACCGCATGCTACACGGTACACTATGTAAATAAAAATTGTTTTGACAAAAAACCACTGCGTTGATGAGTTAATTGCACTATCGTTGTATTTTGTTGTGTCGAAAACAATATTTGTGAAAATAAATGCATCCGACACATTGTCAAATCGCCACTCTAAATATTAAGCTCCATTCAACAATATAATTCATATTTAAATAACGAAATCTATGAACGTTATATTTTATGTATAAAGTTTATTTAAAGTCTCGTTGATCCTTTGCTTCGGTGTCAGTGTGCTCAACACATATTCCATGCATGAATCCATTTCACGCAAATCACAGCGGTTTGAAAGCATTTTGGCAGACTCGAAATGCCATATATGCACAAACAGTTATACAATATACACCGGATGAAAATGCCACCGCCGCCACCGATGTCCCTCTCCCTTTTTGTCTGTTGGCTTGCGAAATAAATTAGTGTCAATGGAAAAGCATTTGCAAAGAATAAATTGGGCTTAAAGCTTCAAATATTTTAATTTCATGCAGTTAAATTAAAACAAACGAGCAGATCTTCTATTTTCATCTGAATTCAGATCAAGTGACCACCACTCTGGTTATTCTTCCTCAACGATACATTATTTTTATATTTATAAAATCTATATGAAACAGTGACATCCGACACACCTACGATGCGATTCAATTGATTTTCCGCGCGACTATTGTGGTCGTACAAAATATAATTGCCATGAATATGGATGTTGCACACAAATTACTCCATTTCATTTCATTTGTTTTTTGTCCGTTAATATAGCGGTAACAGATTGTAGAAAAAAAGTGCCACACACACACAAAAATCAAGTCGGCACTCAGCACACAGCATATACACATAAAATAGTTATGGGATATATTTATATTTGGCTATAAAACGATCGGCGCATAATAAAGTTTAAATAGACGAGGTAAAAGTAACATGTGGATGATGACCCTTTTTCGCCTTCAATTTATTTCGTTTCTTTTTTCTAACGTTTATTTTTTCCAATTTTTAAACTGATTTAAGCTGAAAACAAGTGGCACTTAAACTATATTAACGCTATAGTGGTGTCCGCCACTTTTAAACAACCTGCATATGGCGACAAAATGTCGATCATTGGCATCTATTTTTTAATTATACATGGAGTTTATATACAAGTTGGGCTTTAGTCGTCGTCGTCGTCGTCGTCGTCGAAGTTCAAATGTCGAAATGAAAATGGTAAATATTGGAATAGTTGGCACAACCAATGAGTCGGATGTTCATTCATAAAATGTGGCAACCATGAAGTCAGCACCATTCTTGTAATTTCATCGTTTATTTCTGAAAAAGAAGGAGAAGAGAGAAATGATTCAGAAGAAAAAAAAAACACACGCGAAACATCTTCGTATTGATTTGAGATCGAAACGAGAAGATGGTTTTCATAATTTCTCAGTAAAATGTTTCACATTGAGAGACGCTTTTTTTCTTCTTCTGTTATTGTTGTTGTTAAAAGTGTTAAATTTAACACCTTCATATGATGTCAGCTACCGTTTGTGAAGATACCGTGGATTCATGACGAGATTGACACGAGAAGAGCGCATATCATAGATATGGTGCAAGATGCCATGTATAACAACGCATGAATCTCATTTCAACATTTCGAATAAGAAGAGTAAAAAAGAATATATATATATGAAACAAGAGCGAAAAGCCAAAGAATGTGTGAGCATTCAGAGTTCCATCATCTAACAAATGATCACGAAATAGCACAACACTCCAAAATTTCTATCAATTTATCGATCGTTATTTTTCACTAAACATCGTCATATACATGACTAATAATAGCCGACACGACAGTATATTCTTGGTAAACAAAACACTTTTTAATAAACTGCCATAAAAGTTGAAAATGTAACACAACAAATATGCCCAAAAAAAACCATTGCTCATTTTGACAAGACCGGACGATTGCGTGCATTCTTCGGTCGTGAACGATTGATTAACTTATAGCAAACGATTGGTTTATGTTTACTCGCCATAAAAGACAAAGGCATACATATATAAATGGTCGATTACATATTGTCACCTCTTCATTTATTCATTTGGTGTGTTTTTTTTTTTGCTTCAACTCTAACTAACATTTTTATTTACCTCTACGGCTTGATGTCTATTGCCTTTTATTCCAATATCACGCTTTTTGTTTAATAAATCAATTATAAATTGTGCTAAAAAATAAAACGTCTAAACAATTTAATGATGGTGTTCATTGGAAAATTAAAAGTTAATTATCGCAGTCAAGCCGTCGTCTTTTGTTTCATTGGCTTCGATGTTCATGTTTTTTTTTTTCGGTAGTGTAATTCACACACGGTAGCTTGTATGCGATATGAAAACAGTAGGCAACAGACATGAATACATTGCGCACGATTGCTGATTTCATTTGATGAGTCAAAGTGAGATAAACTTTTTGGAAGAAATGGAATGAACGAAACGAGAGAAAAAAAGGAAATATTCCGCTTCGATCTGAAAAAAAAAAAAAACGAACAGAATATCTGAAATATTCGTGGCCCGGGCGAAGTTTAATATATTTTTCGGTTGCCAAATATTTGTTATTGTCTTATGGCACCTTTAGTCACTGACGACGGGGCACCTCTCTGCATATGTGTATATTGAATGTGACTTTGTTTGCGCATTGCGTCGTGAAGTTTTAAGTATAACTTTTTTTTTTTTTTTTTGAATTGAATGTAGACGCACCTGAAGAACATTTTAGTTTTGTATCTGATTCACTTCTGTTCTGTCCATATCAATAATAAGAATATTGTTGAAAATAAGCAGCGGCAAAGTGTAAATAGTTGCAGTAGAAACAAATACAAATGTAATGATTTTGAATGAATACGATAGGCGCTGGGGTCAAATTGAACGGCTCAGAAATGAAACAGGTTTTGCGTAACAGAAATATATACCTTTCCAAACTGTTTAAATACAAAAAAGAATGAGACGAGCGAGAAAAAAAAACTATTAAATGAAAAATCACACGTATGTGCTAATTCTTCAAAAAAAAAATGTTTTACCTAAATTATTTCGTGCAGGTAGAGAGAATGAACGATCAAGAGAAAAAAAACGTGAGCAATTTCTATATACAGAAAGGTAAACGATGGACAGCTTTATGAATAAAGAATAAGACACGATAGATGGAATTGAAAACTATGAACGCATCTTCCATGTACAGCCTCGACACCAAGCAATATATACTAGACGTCTACTTTCATAATTCATGTATTTAAAGAAAAAAAGATGAAACAATATCACACTTATTGAAACTACAACAAAATCTCTCACTTGCTTGTTCTTCTGGATGAATTTTCCATTAAATGAAGAAGCTTGAAACGCGAGCGATCACGAAACAAAATGGATCGAAATGTGTACATATTTAGATAGTCTCGACACCTCGAATGCGTCGACTGAATTCAATTTAATGGCAAAGACTATCGAGGAAACGGCAATGAACCTCTTCCTTTTTCGATGTTTTCCTCTCTCTTGTCTTCTTCTTCTTCTTCTGTGTGTGCACTTCGTTTGATACTCTAAAATGATGCTTGCAAGCAATATATCTGCATTTCATTAATAAATCAGATGCCATTGATTCATGTATATATTTATGAATAAAAGAGTAAAATGTTGAATGATTTTTTTTATTGTTTCTTTGTTTTATTTTTAGGTCAAAAAGATTGTGATTTACCGAAATCGTATTCATACAATCAACTTCCGAATGCAGGTTCATCGGAACCGGGCGGTGGTCGACTGAATGTATCCGGTGGTATTTGTGAGCCTCATAATTTACACCAGGATCAGGTAATGTTAATGACTAAATAACAAACCAATAAAAATAAAAAATATACCATTGATATTGTGAATAATTGATAAATCTATTCACAATACCGTGAATTATGGCGACCGGCTTAAGATTCATTTGTTATTTATATGATCTCGAAAGAAGTTAGACGCATATAATTGATATCTGTATGCAATGGCAGACAAATCCAGAAGTGACAATATTGTCAAATGTTGTGTCTTTTTCTGCTCACATATGGGAAATATAATTTTCTCACTTTGTCATACCTGCCAAAAAGTGTACACTTGGCATTTAGAATACAAGTTGGATGCTCGATGCCAAATTAGTTGGTGACTCGTGTCTAATACAATACTTCTTGATGCCATAAAATATACATAGGTCTATGACGAAGAACTTGAGTACAACATTTGACTTTAATCGAAATATACGTTCACACAAAAATAAGCATGCATTGAAAACTATTTAAAATCTTAAGATACAACGAATTTATTATGCGAGGAAAAAAATGTTTTGTTGTCACACTGGGTTTCGATTTAAGAGTTGAACTGATTTTACAGCCGCCAGACTAATGCACATACTATGTTATACGAGTTTTTTTACGTATTAAATGGAAATTTTTAATAATTGATTTTTTTTTCTTCCCTTTTCTAAATCAACATCCGCATTGGGTCGTTGTTATTGTCGTTGCTGTTGCTGCTGTGCCATTGCCCAATGTTGATTTTGCGTTGTGGCCATTCATTCCGAAATGAATCCATAGAACGCGGAAAAATCCAGTAAACAAAAACGACACCGAACCCGTTTCACACCGGCTCAGTTAAATGAATTGGAAAGATGTTTTTCGAAAACTCATTATCCAGATATTTTTATGAGAGAGGAAATTGCCATGCGAATAGGGCTAACGGAATCAAGAGTACAGGTAAGTGCCAGCACAGAAATTCTCATCAAATTTTTCTATCCAACAAATCAATTCAATCAAATTAGATTGTATGCCATATTCGAATGCTATTAGCAGCGTAATTGATCATACATATATTTCTGTTTGCATCTTAAAACACAAATATACAAATGAATAACAAATCAGTTTTATTGTGATGCAAATAATGGCTACTTAAGGTTTTGACTACTGTTGTATCCACAACATTGACACATGCTCTCTGTGTGTCGTTAATTGTGTATTTGCTTAATTAAATCGAATTATTATTTTTATATGCTCAACATTTGCTCGATGTAAATAAACAAGGAATTATCTAAGGTCTGGCATACGTCTGCTAATCTTCCATCAATTTCTTTCGATGTGTTATTATTACAGTGGCCATTTGCATAGATGCTTTCATACACTCATCTCATTATTCAGTCTGTATGTTGTTAGACACTCGCATTTTGTGGAAAATTCTTCATTCGACTGTGTGTTGCATGCATTCGTCTCAATGTCCAAATAAGAACGCAATTCAAATCGCAGGACTACATCGAATGAAATGTGTTGAACAAAGTGTATACGTATTGCGACTAAAGCATTCAATGATTGTGATATGTGAGAGACATTGTTAGGAATATGAAATATTGGCAAAATAAATTTACATACATTTGAATTTGTAATTTCTAATCAGCATTCGTCGCTATAAATTATTTCGTACAGACACATGTTTCGAATTCCAATGGAAATGAACGAATTAGAGAAAAGCTGCTCATAATCAAAATTCATTGTTCCATGATTTGTGATTGAATTTGCAATTTTCGATTTCGAGAAGATCGCATTCGATATTTTGGTTCATTTTATAAAACATCCCGAGTGAAAAATGGCATTGAATTTTTCAATGCGTAGTGTCAAATGGCATTTAAGCAATAAATCGACACCGCATGGCTATAGCGATGTGGTGTATGCACTCAACGTGCACACGGACCATGCGGTCTCGATTTATTGCTTAAATGCCTTTGACACTACGCATTGAAAAATTCAATGCCATTTTTCACTCGGGATCTCATAGTTTGATGGTGAGAAAAAAAAACGTTGATTTACCACATTGAATCCACACACCAAGGAATAATTGTATGAAAAGTTGAAAATGTACGGTTCGAAATAACTGTGAAGAATTGAGAAAATCTCAATCGCAATATATGTAGTTTAAAACTGGTTTTTATTTTGAAATGTGTCAACCCTTAGTATTTTGTTAATCTTTCATTTGCTATGGTGAAATAAACATGAATAACAAAAAAAAAACGATGCAGAATTATCAAACAAAACCAGCAAGTAACTGCACACAATTCCAAAAAAAAATCGATGCTCTATAATTAAAAGCAGTTGAACTGAAATTTCATTGATGCTGACTGTAATTGTGTGCATGTAAATTTACCCAGAGTGAAAAATGTAAACTTGAACACCGATTACAAATAAACATTTTCATTTAAATTGAATGCCAATTTCTTAATACGATTTATTAAATGCTGTTAAGTTTTGATAAATAAAAATACATGTAATTTAATTAAAATGCATACACTTCGAATGGAAAGTGAAAAATGTTGTTGTGTTTTGTTTGTGCGTGGCCAATACGAGCAGTAGTGATAGTATTGCTATAATAGCAATTGGTGTGTGGCTGTGCCACACCAAAAACGAAAAACAAACTGTAAAAAAGAATATATTGTAAATAATTAAAGTCCATTAGCAACGAACACATGCTTCATAGACACACAAGCATAATTGATATTTTATGCGAAATCAAATTTAATTTACATTACGTATGTTTTACACATTAATAATCTATAAACCTACATATTTGTAAATCGATTTGTGAATTCATTTTGCATTGAAAAATGGTCAAAATCACTTATTCAAAATATAATCGATCGAATTGGTGGACTCGACCATGAATTTTCATAATTTTTCGTATATCTTGTGTGTGCGTATGTGTCTAAGTCAATGAACGCTGTCTGTATGTTTGTACTATCAGCACACGATAGACAGATGAAAAGCCTTCCATTTTCGGAAAAAAATCAAGTGTCGGAACTTTTTTTCTCGAAAAAAGGTTTTCTCATAATTAAAATCACTAAATTACCCATATCAATTGTTGCATTAAAATATCATCACAGATTTTTTTTTACTTGATGAATGTCAATTGCAATTTTACTGAATGCAGAAAATAAATAATGATGTAATACATATCATACATGGGCACGGTCAAAAATTAATGGGGGCTTCCAACCGCCAAAGAAAAAGAAAAGACCCTAGCAAATCAAAAGAATTCTGTCCATCTCACACAAAATTGAAAATCGAAAAAAAGATCTTCATGATTGTGGAGGATCTTTATTCGGGCTTACATCCTCCTGTGCCCATGTATGCTGCAAAGTGATTGGAGTAAATTCAATTGGTTATCAATTGGCATGCAAAAAAAGAGGTGACAAGTGTTCAAGTAGTGTTCGTGTGCACTTCTCTGACTTTTGTGTTTTGTCACTCAATGTCTTTTATCTCTTTTTTTTATGATGAGTTGAATAAGTTCAATTGAAAGGATAATATCGCGCCATTAAATTCGAATCACACGTGAAATTCAATTGAAATTTTGTTTGTATTGAGTTTATTGTACTGGATCCACGTAGATTATCACTTCTTTGTCAGTTTTCACATCAAAAACTAGCATTCCATCGTACGGTTCGTTCGATCTCCATTCCATTCTTCAGTTGTTATTCAAGTAGATTGAAGAATCTGAAATACTTTGCAACCGAAAGCAAAAAAAGAGAAGAAAGAACATGTTACGTGCAAAGTGGTGTTCGCTTATAGACGCGTCAAGAATAAATTTAGTTGCGATATTCAACAGATTGATGGATTATGTGACGATATATGCATTCGCTGTGAGAGAGTTGATGGTTTAATGCATACAAACACAAGCATGATTGTTGCCAATTTTTCAAGATCAGCTCCAACTTTGGCAATCATGAACGCTTATACGCGTATATCAACTGTCTAACTGCATTCAGTGGAAATTGAAAAGAAATCCATCTAATCAAATGCATAAAACTATGTAGAAAAGTAAAAAAAGCGATGAAAAGAATAAAAAAAAAACAAAAGAAATCTATTTATTCGAAAGTTAAAAATGATATTTTAGTTTGTCGCAACGCATCATGTGAGAATAGTGAAAAGTCAAATGGTTTCAGTTTAGCATAATAGCGGATTATTCTGCATCGATTTTGTTCTCCTTCGTCTTCTTCGTTTTCAGTGTACCGTCAAACCGATTTCACAATGAGCTGTGTAATAAAGCGATCAGAGGATTTTCCCCGTGGTATTTGTATGTGGCATGTCGATGTGATGAATTGCTCCCACATTCGACGATGCGTCGCTAAAGATTATGTTAAGATTTATTTTGTTATTCAGTCTATTTCGTTCGCACACTTGCCACGATGGGTGAATTAATATATACAGTCTCAATACATTGACTGTAATGTAACGTGTATTAACTCACCCCTTGTCAAATAATGTTTGTTGCTTATTTGTTTTTTTTTTTCATCATAATAATAAAAAAAATGGTAAGCATGTTATTAGAACTCATGGAAAAACTATTAAATCATTGGATTAGCTCAATTCACATTATTAGCTACTTATTCGATGGGAATTTATGTGATGAAATGATTTTCGATATTTATTGAAAATTAAAGTTTTTGATTTTCACTCGGTAATGTGTGATATATTCATGTTTTGCCGAAAAAATGTTGAACAAATGCACCAAATCGGTTGGTTCTATTCGAAAAAAAATGGTGCAGCAAAGAAAGGGCGACAGTAGTAGAGAGTGAGAAGAAAAAGCAGAAGAGTAAACCATGATTCCCAACTGAGCGGAATAGAGAATTAGCGCAATGGGCGATCAAATAATCGAAATCAAAACGAATAAATGTACAATTGCATTTTATTTAGCTGTGTCCTGTGTGTTGTTGTTGTTATTGTTAACATAATTTTCGCTTACACAAATTATTCAAACTATTTGTTCGTTTAATAAAGATTCAATGAGTAATTCGGTACACGTGACCGTATATTTAATAAACTAGAAACAGGAAGAGCGATTGTGCGCATCGCATTTTCGATATCCGAACAAATGGGCGAACGGCAACAAACAGAAACATTCGAAATGAAAATGTGTCGTCGATTTGGTGGTGCGTGCGTACGTGGTTACATGCTATCAAATAGATTTATTATTGAAATGGTAACCGGAAAAAGTACGATTTGCCCATAGAGGTGAATGCACACGCCACGAAACATTGTCGAACACATACCTGTGAACGTTGGCGCAAGTGTGCCACGCCAAAATCATTTCAGACAGTCGCTCATCAAATGATTATTCAATTTTCTGTTCAATGGGAGTAAGAGAGAGAGATACAGAGACACTGAAGTAAAAGCGAGCGCATAATGTACGCACCTTATTTCGAGCACTTTTATTTGATTTGATCCGGTAAGCAATGCTCTCATATCGTCTACCTAAACTAAATTATTCTTTATGCATTTCAATCAAATAAAAGTGCAAAAGGTTTATGCTTTTATTATATTGCAAACAATTTATTGCTTTATTTTGATCTCTACAATCTATTCCGTTGCCATTGCCATATTTGGCAGTGACGAGAATCAAATAAAATACAAATAAATAAATAAAAGTAGACAGCTATAACAACAGGCGCGCACGGGTGAAGATTCTGATTTCTTTTTTGTGTTTTTGGTTCATCCTCTTGTCGAGTATTTGTTTCATTTAATTTCGAGCACAGGTAAATTTTTAGAGCTCTCCCAGATTTTCTTTGATCTCATATATGCGCTTGAGTCGGTTCTTAGCCACTTTTATTTTGTTATTATTAAATTCCTATCCGATACACAGACAATGTAAAACAACAAATTACAAATATAACATTTCAAGTGAAGAAAAATTTTAATAAAATATGGAAATCTATAAT